TATAGCAGGGATTGTGGGGCTGGCGCGGGATCGGGCAGTGTTTCGTTCTGCTGTGCATGGGGTCGCTATGAGTCGGAAACGACTCAACGGCACTTAACAACAACAACAACAAGGCAAATTTGGAAACAAAATATTAATTGAATTCTCTGAATTAAAGACATAAGACAAATTTCTAATTTCCCACATATTTAAGTATGTTAAGGTCTATTTCTTGTTAACTAATTCCACTGAAAACACAATTTAGTTTATATTTTTATATTAACTTGGAATAACCATTCATTTTAAAGGAGAATGAACCCTCCTTCCTTCAAACTAGTTTGTGGTCTCTGAGGGCAAGTGCTCATGTGGTTTCAGTATCAAGCCTCACATTACCTGGTCAACAAACAAACAACAACAATAAAAATAAACCAACTCACTGCTGTCGAGTCGTATCCAACTCATAGCGACCCCTCCTTGGGTTTCCAAGGTAGTATCACTACGGAAGCAGTTGCCCCATCTTCTGAGGAGTGGCTGGTGGGTTTGAATTGCCAGCCTTCTAGTTAGCAGTCTAATGCCTTAGGCACTATGCCACCGCCTTTAATAAATGTTCCCAACTACATGAGCACACTGAACAACAGGCATAAATTCAACTGTTACTTGTAACACAACAAAGAAACCAATAAAAAAAAAGTCAATCAATATATTACAATAAAGAACTAAGTTCAACCCATGTAACCTTAAGCATTTTTTTTACTGAATCTAGCAATTTCTCTATATTTTTATGAGAAAACAAAAAAAAATCATAAACTTCCCTTTTGTCTTATAATTAAAGTGAATGTCATACATGCCTTCAATTTTTTAGGTTGGGTAGAAAGTGGGAAAAAGACAGCAGAATTATTCCAAAATCTGTAAGGTGATATAAAATTTTGGGGGGTTTATCTGCATATATCAACTTTAGCAAAGACATCGCTTTGAGAACTAAGGTGAGCCTGACCATGGTAATCTCAATCACCTCACACACATGTGAAAGCTGGAAAATGAATAAGGAAGACTGAATTGATGCATTTGAATTACAGTGCAGGAGAAGAATACTAAATACACTATGAACTGCCAAGAATGAACAAATCTCTCTTGAAGAAGTATAGTCAGAATATTCCTTGGAAGTGAAGATGGTGAGGCTTGGTCTTACATACTTCTAATGTGTTACCAGAGGGACCAGTCCCTGGAGAAGGACATCATGCTTGGTAAAGATGACAGGCAGTGAAAAAGGAAGACCGTCAATAAGATGGATCAACACAGTGGCTTCAACAATGGGCTCAAACAGAGCAATGATTTAGAGAATAGTGCAGGACCAGACAGTGCTTTGTTCTATTATAGGGACGCCATAAATTGGAATCAACTCAATAACACCAATATGAAATACATGTATAATTATATTTTCCAAAAAAATTCAAGTTAATATTCCCCTAATAATTTACCTCACCTAAGAACACAGAGACATTAGAAAAGGCTAACAAGGAAGCAAAGAAACAAGTAAGACCAAAAGTAAAACAAAACCAAAAGAAAGAGAGAAATGAAAACAAGAGGCAAAGAGGGAGATAAAAGGAACAGTCACATAAAACAGTGAAATGAAAAATATTACTTTGAGTTGAAGTTGTTCTTGTTGACATTTGCTGTAAAATCCAGATTCCTACTTAAGTATAATACTCTTCTCTCAGGTGAGTGAGAGGTTGGGGTTTGTTATGAAAGACAATCAATATTTCACTCAACTATTTCTACAGTCAATTTCAGTGTCATTTCTCTATCATTTACCCACAGTAAATAAAGAATAGTATAATGCATATTTTTATTCCTCAGGTTAGTAAACACCATATCAACTGTACAACTGCAACAAATCATCGGGAAAACTCTTGGCAGAGTAAATCAAAGGAGAACTTATGCTAACCCGAGGTGAACAGTGGCTGCTGGACTAGCACATTAACTACATTTAGTTTTGGACAGCTCCATCAAACATACTCTAAACCTGCCTAATAATTTACTCACAGTCATGCAGGTTATCATAAGCCTATCACTAAAATCTAAAAGCTTCACTGTGATGATTTTACTGTCAATTTTCATTTCAGGCATAACTTGATAAAAGCTTCACAAAACCTCTCCTTGAGATTCCATTATTTTCCACACTAATACCACTAGACTGAAAAAAGACTTCTTAACACACATCTACTGTATAGGTTCAATAAAATATGCAGAATATATTACCATGTCACAATTCTGCACCTTTTACTTCCTATTCCTACTTGAAACTGTTGCTTCAGAAATGGCAGTATTTGCACTATAAAGAAACAAACCAAAAAATACTTGCCTTGTTTAGCAAACATATGCTATTTTTTTCCCAATTTTTTTTAATAAGTTGCACTACAGTAAGACTTAGAATCTGATAACTACTTATTTTTATATATTCTTTCATTTTCTGTAGTATGTATGTCTTTCCAAATCAGGCAGAATTCTACTCTACATAGTTGAAAAATTACATAAAGCTTAATAAAGGATTACTCTTTCAACTGGTAAATTATCACATTATAACATATGATTCAAATTTCTTAGCAAGTTTACTCAAACTGATTCCAAAAGAGATAGATATGAGCACTAAGTTTAAAAAAAAAAGAAGTCCAGAATCAAATAGAAATTTGTAATAATCACATTCTCAACATGTATGTTTTACTCTCCTAAAATATTCATATCCACTATCAATTATTAGTTTACATTTGATTAAATTCACATCTTATTTATACTTCTATAGTATGTTATGAATTCCAAAGGTGATTCTACTGTCTCCTTGAAAACAATCTAAGGATAATGAAGAGCATGCTGTTACCAATAATAACACTGGAGTGCCAATAAGTCATGCATTCTACTATTACTTTGATTTAATTTAATCTACTTCTAGAGAAAACCTGCATGCCTGCTTCCATTATGATTTGTAAATGCTCTTTTGTTTCCATCCTGAATATACCTCAATGACCATCCCCAAGTTCTGGTGATCTGTTTATACATAAAAAGTTCAACTCTGCCCACTATTTATATCAGAAACTATTCCAAACATATTTTATATCTCAGTATTTTTAACATCAATGTAGACTTTTAGGCATTATTCTTTTCAGGGCACTTTGAAGTCTGAAGCATCAAGGACTATCCCCAGTAAAAACATTAGCAATAAAACCAAAAAAGCAGCAATAAATACAAACAAAAGCCTATTTTGAAAACCCAATTATTACACGACACTTACCTTCAGCAGGTCCTTGGAGAAATCACCACCCTCATTTACTCCTTGGAGGTTTGCGATGAATTCTTGGCAAGTCATCTTCTTTCCAATATTCTGTAACAGAGGAAAAGAATACATTGAAATTACATTTATGGGACTAAGATTAATATTTAAACATATCATTAGACATTAGAATTGATTAGGTTTCTGAAGGCATGAATACACACACACACATATATATAATATAATATGCATAATAAAAACAGATGCTTTGTTATATTTTTAAAACTGTCATTAAATATAAATTGGAAAATTAACTCAAACCCCTATTTTAACCAAGGATATGTGAAAAATCTGTTATATTTTGTAAATATGTACAATGAGGTTTATTTTGATGAAAAACAGAATTAAAATGACATTTCAGAGCTTTTATTTTTTTAAATTTTTATTGTGATTTGGGTGAAAGTTCACAGAGTAATTTTCCACACAGCAGCTCACATACACTTTGTCTCATGACATTGACTACAATTTCCCACAATGCAACAGATCCCCTCCCCAAAGTTACCTCTTCCCTGTGTCCTTCCCTCCATGCCCTTCTGCCCCTTGAGCTGTCTCCCTGTGCATACACAGCCCTTCTATTCTCCCACTATTGATCCTTCCAAGGAGTGTATCTACCTAATGTAAATGTTCACCTCATATGCCTGTCTTTTGTTTGGCTGGAAGCCACAGGAGTGAGTTTAATTCCAAACCTGAAGGGCAGCTAGGGGCCATAGTCTCAGGTGTTCTACCAGGCTCTATCTGACCAGCAAACCTAGTCCCCACCCCATCCCTATCCTCCACCCTCCCTTTTTTTTTTATGATTTTGAATCTTGTTCTACATTGTTTTCTCGTTCTATCCAGGATCTCCTACATAAATCCCCAAGAGCTGTTTATTTGTATTTCCTAAATATTGTCAGGAACTGTGAAGAGTCTAAGATTTTACCCTACTTTCAAGCTAACAGGGTAGCCTTCCACAGTCTTATAGGCGCTGACAGAAGACATAAATGTTCTGGGTGAGAGACAGAGGAACTTACTATTCACAAGAACAATAGTAGCCAGAAGGTCAGCATATTCATGTGCCAGTTCCCTGAGCCTCAGTGAGCAACTCAAAAAGGCCACGATGACACCCATATATACACTCGGTTGTGTTACAAGAGAGAAACTCCAGGCTTCAGGAACCTGAATCTTTTATAATAAACAATAAGCATGGTGAAAGTGCCTAAAGCATTTGACTGCTAACCAGGGGCTGGCAGTTCAAACCCTACAGCCACTCCTCGGAAGGAAGGTTGAGCAATCTACTTCCGTACAGATACCACATTGGAAACCCAAGAAGGGGTTGCTATAAGTCAAATCCACTCAACAGCAGTGAGTTTCTTTTTTTTTTTTTTTTGTTAGAGGGAGATAAGACTTCTATCTTCCAAGGCTATTATTAAGCAAACCTGTCCATTGCTCTGTCTTCCAAAGTCACTCATTCTAGAATTATCCTTGAAAAAACAGGTCAGAACAAAGACAACCAATGCTTCTGCTCACAAAAACATGTATTAAAAAAAAAAGTGGGGGAAGAGAACCAAGGAAAATTACCCACACACACATTTCCAAAGATGATTTAGGGATAATAAAGTCTAACAACAACAAAAATCACATTAATAAACAAAAACTAACTAGAAAATCTAAACTACAAAAAGTCAAAAGATGCAAAATAAGCTGACCATGAAAACAAATATAGTTGCTATGATATATCAACAAATTATATTTGTTCCTTAGCTTGCTGGGAATCTGAGTTTAAAAAATATATATGATAATTTAATTTTAGAAATGAAGAAGTTACCAATTTCTGTAAGGAAAAAAGGTTTTCTTTGCCCAAAGGTATAAAAACACATGCAAACATACACACCACACATATTGAAGAAAAATAGAAGTACAAAACGTTATAGAGAATATGCCTCTGTCCAACCCTAGAAACAGGTCAAGTGTGACACATTAAAGGAAAATTAAGTCAGAGAAGGCACAGAGACTTCGCCTTCTACACTAGCTCCTATCAACTAGAAGTTGCCAGTTGTAACGGATTCTGAGGCTCATTCCAGACACCCAGAGAAATCTGTCATTGGTGTAGAAGAGGGATATAAAACAGAAGTAACTGGCACACACACGTCATCTCTGGCAATATGTAGTCAAAATTAACACAAAATGTACAAACATTAACATATCTGTGTACAATATTCTTACAAATAAAATGTATTTTTTCCAAGCTTTCCTGCACCTCCCGTAGAAGACTAAGAAGAATAAGGTTGAACTGCAGTGTTCTAATTAGGGGAGCAATGGACAACTTGAATGTCCATTTTTCTGACATATAAAAGAAACATGCACACGCAATGTCCTCAGCTTAAATACATACATTTTCCTCAAGCAGATCTGCCTGAGAACATGTACCTATGTGTCTTAAATAATTCCCCACTTTCTTTTCACAGCTTCCCTCCTCTTTACAAAATGAGACAATTTGCCCCATCTGTGTTAAATTTAAATAACTATAGTTAAAGCATCAAAAGTTTTTTGTTAAAAACCAGTCTCCTCCATCTGCAAATATATCAAAGAGGGATAGTTTGACTTGTTGTAGTATCACTACAGAAGTAGATTGCCCAACTTTCCTTCCGAGGAGTGGCTGGTGGGTTTGAACCACCAGCCTTCTGGTTAGCAGTCAAATGCCTTAGGCACTATGCTACCAGAGCTCCTGTTTGACTTAGTAAGAAAAAAACTCTGTTTTAGCTGAGTGTTTTTACAATGAGAACAGGCTTTACCAATGAACTGATTTGGTGAATATTTTCCTTAAATTGAATAAGTTAAATCTGCAATTCCAAGTTTTTGACAAAAATTTATTTAAAGCACATGAAAGAGAACCTACAGATTGGGAAAAAATATTTGGCAATGACATATTCAACAAGGGACTTCTCTCTAAAATTTATAGAAAACTTCAACACCTCAACATCAAAAAGACAAGAAATTCAATTCAAAAATGGGGAAAGATATGAATAGACATTTCACCAAAGAAGATATTCAGGCAGCCAATAAAAATGTGAAGAAATGCTCTCAATCCTTAGCCACTGTTGTTGTTGTTATGTGCCATCGAGTTGGACCCAACTCATAACGACCCCTCCTTAGGTTGCCAAGGCAGTATCACTACGGAAATAGATTGCCCAACCTTTCTTCCAAGGAGTGGCTGGTGGGTTTGAACCACCAGCCTTCTGGTTAGCAGTCAAGTGCCTTATGCACTATGCTACCAGAGCTCCTAAGAGACAGCCTGGCTACTTGGCAGGGAGCTGGTGGTGGGTTTGAACTGCCAACCTTGGGTGTGGCACCTGACTGCCTAAGGCCCTAGCCATTAGAGAGATGCAAATCAAAACTACAATGAGATATCACTTCATCCCCAAAATAACAGTTAACTGAACAAGACAGAAAAGAACAAATGCTGGTCAGGGTATGGTGAGACTGGAACTCACACACTTATGGTGGGACTATAAAATAGTACAATCACTGTGGAAAATGGTATGGTGCTTCCTTAAAAAGTTGGAAACAGAAATACCATTTGATCCAGCAATCCCATTACTAGGAAAATATCCTAAAGAAGTCAGACCCAGGACACAAATAGAAATAGACACACCCAAATTCATTGCAGCACTATTTACAATAGCAAATAGATGGAAACAATTCAAGTGCCCATCAACAGATGAATGGATAACCAAACTGTTGTATATACATACAATGGAATACTGTGCAACATTAAAGAATAATGAAGACTTGGTGAATAACCTTAAAGAATCGAACTGGCTACTCTAAACTTGGCTATGGCACCGTGAATCCTCAAAGATGAATTCCACTTGCAGACCCCACAACCTCCCCCATCATGTCAAACCTCAAAGATAAATTCCACCTGCAGACCCCACACCCAACCCCACCTTGTCAAAAACAACCTCACTTCCTGGAAACTGAAACTCTTGCAAAACCCCGTGCAGAGGCCCCTATATAAAAGGGGGTAACACTTCCCCCAGGGGTGGCTCTACTCTGCAACTGGCACTGTTCACATTGCTCCTAGAGTTGTCCCTCATGGGCTTTTGTTCAATAAAGCCTGCTCTGATCTGTTGAGGTCATGGTCATTTTCTACTCTTCTTACTTTCACTTTAGCTTCCGTACTTCCACACTTTCCTAACAAGTGGTGCTGAAACCTGGGACAGGGTTGAGCCAAGGGCTGTTGACCCTGGTCTGTCACACCATCTCCCCTTTTCCTCCCTTTTTCTAGCCTATGGGTATCTCCAGGGAAATGAGGGTTCTCACTGAGCTCACTAATAAGCTAAATGGCTGTGGGAAAGTGACCCTAAGCTTCCCTTTCCCTGAGAGTATGCCTTTGGCAGCCTCACTGCCATGTGAGCAGCTCAAGGACTACAGTAATCCTTTATTGGATATCCTGGTAACTCCCCACGGGAAGTCAGACCCTAGGATCGGAATCATCATCTAAAGCCCTCTTTTAACTTTTACCGACCTCCAGATCTGGGGACATTTGTCATTTTCGACGCAAACAACATCAGCCATTTATCAGTCCTCCTCAGGACCAGGTAAGTCCCCTTTGTCACCGACTCTTGTCCTCTCTTCCGTATTCGATTTCCAGTCCACCGCAGAGGTGCTCTGCAGCGACTCACTGGTGTTTTACCACCATCTAGACTCCAGGAGTGCCCCTCTTCGGCGAAAGTTTGAGAGACATTGCTTTTCCCTGAGAGGGCCTGACCCAGCACAGCAAATCAGTGAGGATGTGCTCTGACATGCTGGAGCCCTGGCTTTTTAGCCCTTTCCAACTCTCCTTTTTTCCTCTTGTCCTCTCTTTCTCCCAGTTTCCCAGGCATGGGAGCTGGTCCATATGCACCACCACCCACTTCACCCCTCAGGTGCCTTCTCCAAAACCTCAGACCCTTATATCTGGCCCCAGACATAAAACCCAAAATTCTCCAACTATCCACTCACATTTAACCTCACTATCAATTAAATAATGGTAGTCAATGTCCTGAATTTGGAACATTTGACCCAAACAT